TCCCCCCACCCCCCGGCTGACATCCCTGCCCTGGTCCCCCCCCAGGCTGACATCCCTGCCCTGGTACCCAGCTGAAATCCAGGGAACGAGTGGCTCTGCCATCCGAAGGCAGCTGTCGGGCTCTCAAGAAAAGCCTGGCTGATACAGGATTTCTTACGTGTTGCCTCAGTCTGCAGATGGTATTTGCTTCTATAAGCACCTTTTACAAAAGGAACACTGTGTATAGCAGGAAAAAAAAACTTGTCCAGGTTACTGGAAATGGAAGCTTTCTTCCATGACCAACCAAGTAAAGAAGCTGGTGTGAGGTGGGTGATGGAATAACAATATCTGTGTTTGGGAGAGCTCATGCACGGTCCCTGTCCAGCTGAAGTATCCAATATCGGTTTTGCAGACATGGACGATGCCTCACCTGACAAAGCAGCAGTGATGGATGACACCGGACAGTATCAGCGCTGAAGAAGTGGCCAAGCCCGAGACAAGCAATAAACCAACACATAATTAAGCATTACTATCAAGGATGATTTCACATTTAATGACTGAATCATGCGAGTTTTCTGCAATCAAAAGCACATTAGATGGGGTAAGTCAGAACCAAGAAAACATCCTAAAACACTGCGTCAACCTAAGCACAAGCTGCCCGTGTCGCACGTACCAAAAAAGAGGACTAAGCGTCAGGCTGACCTGGTGGCTGAACGGCTGCAGTGTTGGGCAGGGATGATGGGAGAACAGTTACTCCTGCAATTGAACTTTCTTACCAATGCAGGATGGAGGGTGGGAAGGAAGAAAAGTTCTCTTTGTTCCATCTGTAAGACTGAGTATCTCCTGGCTTAGTCATTGAATTTAAGAGATTTTTCTTTTTGGCTTGTAAAAAGTACGGAAGCCCTTACAACTTACAGCACAGAACTGGATTTGAATTCATTTTTGTGCAACAGTGACTTGAGCAGAGGTCACCTCCATGTCTACTTCCAAAGGGGGGAAAAAAAAAATAATGACACAATTGGTAGAACCCACCACGTGCACAGTGGTAGCAGGACCTATGGATATTTGCACAGTTGATTCTTGTACATTACACAGCATCACTGAGACAGTGTCTCCTTCAGCATGCTAGGGCCTCTTGATTATTAAAATCATTAGCTTTTTTTTTTTTTTTTGAGTCAAGAATGAGGTGTGATGGTTTGTTTTGCTTTAAGTCACTAGTTTAGCTGCTCCAGTTGCAGTGTCTTTTAGGGTGGTGTTATTTCTAGCTTCCAGTTGAAGCTTAAACAGAGGTATTGGGGAGCCAGCCTCCAGCTGCTTACCTGTGCAATACTTCTATCCAGGTGCCTTCTGTAAGGTACTCCCCTAACCCCCGCATGCCCCATTACAAGCTACGAAGAAAGGACTGGCTTTAGAGGAGTGTAAAGCTACATCCATCTATTTCTTCAGTGAGTGATTGGACATGTACTTTTTTTTTTTGCTTTAACTGCTGTATGTGGATGTACATATGTATGTGTGTATATACAAGTGTTTAATTAAAGGTGATTGATTGCTAGATTCTCAGAATGACTGGATTCAGGGAACTCAGCTGTTTCTGGCCAAGACTATCGGCTACTCCCTTCTCCAGTTCTGGCTTTCAAACTCAGACTGAGTCTGGCAGCTGTTGGAAGTTAAACTGTTCTTAACATTTCTCTTTTTCCAAGCAGTAGGTCTTACCTTCCATAAAATATCTTCACAAACTCCCACAGGTGCTTCTGCAGAGAAACTCTCAAAAAAAGAGGAGAGTTGTTAAATTGACTTTGTATAAAGGTGAGTGCACATCAGGCTGGTGCAGGAAGGAGGTAAATGAAGCTGAATTTTGGGCTGAACTCATCCATGGACTCCAGCATGTGCTGTAATTCTTCTCTAGCACCACAGGATGCCACTGTTCCTCTCCTTGAGATACCCAGAATGAAAAAAAGTGGTGTACTGCAAAAAACACTTGCAGGGAAAAAAAAAATAAAATAAAAAAAAAAAAAAATCAATCTGTCATGACTAGAGTCCCTCCCACCATGACAGCATTCTCTCCATCCCTTACAGAGGAAATGAGCACGAAACAATACAATGAGGGAGTTTATTTTGGAAGAAGTCTACTCAGATTACATATCACAGCTATTTGAAAAAAAAAAAAAAAAAAAAAAAAGTCCTTGCAGCTTGATAACACCCAGCTAAATGCATTTGCATTTCTTTGGTTAAAAGCCTACTTGCCAATGGTACCTGAGCTGGCGAAAAGACGGTGGAGCACGACCCAGCCAGCAGCAGCAGCCCCCTCTCTGCCTGTGTTCAAGCACAAGGTGAGAGCTGGGAACAGGGGAGCTCAAGGTCTGCTGAACTCCCTCATCATCACAGAGCGAGCTGCCCTGCAGCTGTAACTTTCCATTTCCTCTACTGAAAAAAAACCACACTCAAAAGATGAGAAACTTTGTTAAAAATATTTATTTAAAAAAATACAATTGTTTTGCATGTCTGGTTGCACATAACTATTAACATATGATTGACTTGAATAATTTGCTACAATGCTTTTTAAAGCCAGCTTGCATTATACAAAGCAAATCCCTCTGTCAGTTCTTACATAAAATAGTTTTCTTTTAACTATTCCCACCCCATTTTTAAAAAAGATTGCAATACATTGATTTAGATTTTTTTTTTTTTTTTTGCACAAAAATTGAAGCAATAGAAAAGTCACCTGATTTCTCAGGAAAGACCTTCATTATGTTTGACTAAAACCTGCCACTGCGCCACCCTCTGAAAGCAGCAGCTGTCACTTTGAAGTGTCATTACAGTGCACTTCCTCCATAGCTAAAGTTTTGCATCTTAGAACTTTGCCTCCAAATTATATTCAAACCTGAAATGTGTTCAAATAACTGCATATCTGCTATCATCAAGTTGATCAGACTTTTCTTTTTTTTTCCTTTCAATATTATCTCAACACGCTGAAGGTCTTCCTAATATGTTATCTTGGAAGGTTAAATAAAAGCAAATTTAGTAACACTGAACAATTACTGAAAACTTTGGCTATTTATGTACTTGCATTACATACCAGCATTTTTTTTTTTAAACACAATGGCATTAAGATACTCTTATTATAAGGTATTTTCAAAAAAAGTTAGAGCGAGAAGCTATTCTCTCCCAGGCAACTGTAACAAAGAGCACCAAAGCGGTGTGAGATTACAGTTGGCTCTACACGCCTGTGTCTAGAAGAAGTCTCCAGTGTAGGAAGTCAGACACTCACTACATCACTTGCTTTGTCTCTTGACATGGTACTATATATATAGATATATACTATAGATATTAAATGCAGTTCTGTTCTGGAAAGAGTAACTGACAACGTTATCTGTGCTGCTTTCAATGTCATTTTAGTAGAAGCATCAGTGGTTAAAAATTACAGGAATGTAAAATGGAATCCATTTCAGAGTTCAAGACTAAGCTAACGGCTGTGATTGTCAGCTCAGTCTGCCCCAGCGAGCTGCTGTGGCACAGAAACACCTCGGACATCACCTTGCCAATTTGCAAAGAACTCAGGTTAACCTGAAAATTCAATTTGATCAACACTAAAGGCATCAGAAAGCCACTTTCCAAAACAGATGTGCACATTAAAAATAAGCTCAATGACTGTCACACATTACCACAGCTGATGAGGTTGCTTAAGTTCTCTGAAATTTAACTTAAACTTCCCTCCCCTGCCTCCAGCCAGAAACCTGCAAGGACCAGATTCTCAGCCGGCGTAAGGCAGAGCAGTTGCAGAGCAGCCAACAGATCTATTCTGATTTACAAGCTGCTGGCATATGATTCAAACCTGCCATCAGCTCGCTCAAAGATTCTCAGAATTCCCAAGACAAAGTCTCCTGCTGGTTAACGATCCCTCTTCAGAGTCATTTCAGTCCCAGATTAATTCCAGGAGACAACCCCTCTCCTTACCGGACATGTTGCTAGAATTTTCCCATTTATTCACCTCTATTATTAAGAATATACTTCTCAGCTATAAAAACAGAGAGGGGGAGGAGATAAGCATTAAATGTGCTACTGTACTTATCACAAAACACTGTGACGTACATAAGGCCATCTGGTAACACTGCAACAGAATACAAACAAGATTTTAAAAGGGAGTTTTAGAATACAATTTTTTTTTTTTAACTGCAATGAATAATCTCAACCCTGTTCACAGAGAATTAACGTTAAAACTAGTACATCATATATATAAAACTCTGTGCAACTGAACAACGGCGGAACAAAAAAAAAAAAGTCAACACAATTCTCTAAAGCAGTTTCAAAGCCTGAAGATTTAAGACATGCTAGCCAAAAAACCCACAACGCATCTCAAGGAGCCTAGAGCAAACCCAGGTATTGTAACACCCCCCCCCAGCACACAGCACACACTAGGAACCATGCAGAGGCCATCCTCAAAGCCTTCCTGTGTTCAAAAAAAAAAAAAAAAAAAAAAAAAACCAAAAAAAAAAACAGCTTCCAGTTATGAAAAAATAGATTTCAAACCACAATTCAGAATGAGTTAGTAAAAAAAAAAAAAAAAAAAAAAAAACCAAAAAACACAACAGCTTCCAGTTATGAGTACAGCACTGCTGCACGTACTGCTCCAGGACTGACCGGGCTCCGAACATGCCTCCCAGCCTCTCCTCCCCCCTCGTTCGGTGCCTCCCTTAGAAGACCCCTGTTTTCCGAAGGTTCATAATTATCCTGTTACACCCCCTGCCAAAACCCTTACTTTGAGATTAAAACCTTCTGTAACGCATGGTCTCAACAGAGAAGCAAGTGTTTTAATTAAAAAGTCCAAACCTTTGTTCCATGGACATAAAACTATGCAAAGACACACTTGGGACACTTTTTTTAGAAGATGTGGCATACAACAATGTCAAAGACGCATTTAAAAATAACCTTTGGCAACTAATTAGTTCACACTGGTATAATCAATTTGAATACTTAAAAAAAAAAAAAAAGCCCAGACAAATCTCACCAGCATGTGCAAAGCATTTAAAAGTGGCAACTGCATAGTGCAGCGTTTGAGTGTACGCAGTCAGCGTTGTTTACACAGGTCTGGAAGCCAGACTCCGTCCTGACCACACATCCTCCCGGCAGCGAGCATGTGTACACACGTATGTTCACACGGAGAGAGCCAGTCCAGTCTCGGGTAAATGATGCAGCTAAAAACAAGTTTTCAGCTCTCAAGGGATGCTTTTATCAGATGTCTGGAACAGCTCCACAATCTAAGTCTTCTACCACATTCTTTGTTGTTTTTTTTTTTTTTTTTTTGGGGGGGGGAGGGTAAACAAAACCAAAAATTCTAGTCAGCTTTACTTTTTTTTTGTAGATTAATTTCTATGCAGCGGATATCTTGCTATCCCCAAAGGGCAACACACCAGCACACACATTCAAGAAGAAACACTGGGCCCTGCCCAGCTTCCTTACCTCGCAGGTCACTTTTTTTT